TAACTTATTTATACTTTTTAACGTAATACTAATTCAAAATTAATTATTAAACTATGTTCTTATATGCAGAGTGTAATGAATTAAATAATAAATAATTAGGAATTAAATCATAACGTAATTCTGCACGTTATGACGTCATAACGTTATTAAATAAAAATGGCGGACAATTTGTAGGAAAATTTCGTAGGAAATTAATATTTTCATTTTTACGAAATACTAAATTTTTTTCTCAAGTTGTAACTAATGATTAAGTGATTATTAGTAGATAAATTTTTGTCGGAAAAGTGAATAGAAAAATTTTATTGAAAATAATTTCTACAAATGTAAGTTTTAACTTTGTATTTATTAAAAATAAAAAATAACAAAAGTCTTTTCAATTTTTCCCATATTATTTTCGAAAAATTTTTTAATTAAAATAAGCGTAAAAAGTAAAACACAAAATTAATTTTTAAATAAATAAATAAATTTTCTTATTTAAATTATGAAAAAATATGAAAAATCTTTTTTAAAGTAAAGAGTATTTCATCACATAACGTTCTTCTGATTATTATAACTTTGTAAGTAGTAAAATTTATCAATATTAATAAAATAAGATAATAAATAATTTATAAAATTATTATAATAACATTTTTAAATTGTTATAATTGTAATTGATGATATTTAATACTTAAAAAAAAAAAAAAGAATTGACCGGTGTATAATCTAAGGGAGTATAAATGTCATAGAGTATAATATATATATATTATTAATTCTTTGACAGAATTCTCTTGTTTTTGTTATAAAAGGCGGTGAAACAAGTACTTCGCTGTTATCGTAAATTAGAGTTTGTTAAAATAAAATTTTAACAAGTTTAAATTTAATTAAAATAATTATTACCCATTTCAAAATATCTTATTATAATTTTGTTTTTGTTACATGGGCATTTTTAATAAAGTATAATAGTGATTAACTTCGATAATTATGTAATTATTGAATTATTACATTTCAATTTATTAATAATATGAGTTTTAGACAATGAAAAAGTATTTATAATTTTAATTAAAGGTAATTAATTGTAAACAAACCATGATAGTTTTTTGGTGTATTTTTCTACAAAAAAAAAAAAAAAAAAAAAAAACTGTAACATTAGTGTAAAACTTTCAATATTTAACCAATACTTTTTTTTTTTTTTTTACATATTTAATTTTTCCACAGATGATTTTACGCCAAATTTGTTAATAAATTTATTCACATAGATATTTATTTATTTTTTATTTAACAAAAAAATAATTAAAACCTTAAATATTAAACTTATTTTATGATCAGCTAAATATAAAAATATAATATGAAGAATTATATAAAACTTTTAATAAAATGTTTTTTTTTTTGTTGTATTAAATAATATAAATTGTTTTTTTTTTTTTTTTTTTTTTTAAAGTCGGACTAAAAAATTTATACTTAGTATGGCGAAATTTTTTTTTTTTTTTTGGAAAAAAAAAATTAATTATTTTATTTTAATTTTTTTTGGGACAAAACAAAATACAAAGGCCTTCCTTTTTATAAAAAATTATTAAATAAGAACGCGGAGGCAAAATTGTGACAAAAAACTTAGGAAATTTATTAATAATTTCAATTGTAATATTATTTAATACCTGTTTTTTTTTTTAACTTCAGAATATTATAAAATAATTATTTCAGTGAAAATATTAAAAATTTTTTTTTCTATATATTGTATTTTTATGTATGATTGTATAATTTTTTTTTTTTTTTTTTCATTTTAAAAAAAATAACTTAAAAAAAAAATGGATTCAAAAATTCAAAATGATTCTTCCGATACTTTTGTCAAAATTAATTCTATATGGAGCGAAGCCAAAAAATTTTTTGAAAATGTCCCCATTAAGGAAAAAATAGTTTCAAATTTGGAAACAGAGACTAATGATATTAGAGAAAATAATAACAATTTTGATAATAATGCAGTAAATGATGAAAATCAAATATTACTCGATAAAAAAAATAATTGTAGTATGTTTAATAATATAACTACGCCAATGTTACCAGCTCCAGAAAAAAAAATTCAAAATAATAAAATTATTAGTTTTGATGATATTGAAAATCATGGAGATTTAAGATCAAGTTGTCTACATGATCCGAAAAGTTTTAAAATTGTCAACAGAAGACTCAGATGTGGAGAATGTAGATCTTTGGTCTGTCCAGAGTGTTTTAAAATCATGTTTTCAACTATTTACAATCATTTTATGGGTTTCGATACAAGCAATTGTACTTTTTATTTTTGCAAGATTTGTTGTTTTCCATTTCAATCTGTTTGTGCTCTAGAGGTTTGTTCATTATACATTAATTTTTCAATACTGAATTTATTTAAAAAAAGAAAATTATTACTTATTATTTGTTTTCGACAAGTTACTAAACGAAATTAGTGTTTTTAAAATTCTAACGGTACTTTTTAATATTATTATGATACTTGATTTTTTTTTTTTTTTGTCATGTGACATTTTCTAACTGTTTTATTATTTTGTTTCAGGCTCATACCAGAATTCATACCATGGAAAATCCTTTCGTTTGTCCAGATTGTGGTGTAATTTATAGTAATGCATACTTTCTTACTTTGCACTTGACCAATAAGTGCTTTCATGTGTACAAAACAGTAAACTACAAGTGCCAAAGTTGTCCTGGTATAAAATTCACTACTAGCAAATTTTTAGAACATATTCAAGAAGTTCATTTGCATAGCATGTTTAGATGTTCACACTGCAGTTTATTGTTTTCCAATTCTGAAGAATTTAATAATCATATGAGTAAAAATCATCAAAAGTTAAAGGTATGTATATAAATTTCTTTTTTTTATATATTTTTTTTACGTTCTCATAAATAAAAACCTTGTAAAAATATTTTGTAAGTTTTTTGTAACTTTTTAATTTTGTTTAAGTATAAACTTCAATAAATTATTTATTTATTAATATTTTCAGGCGCAATATTTAAATTATTTTAGATGTACTTTGTGTTCCAACACGGTGATACCTAGCTTCATGTATGAAAAACACATTCATCAGCATCGTGAAAATCCCGATTCCTACGAAATTGAGTACAAATGTTTATGCGGAAATTCATTTAATGTTGTCGGAGCTTTTCGTTCTCACATACAATTTTGCAATAAAAAGGGTATGCTACCCCCAGAATGGGGAAATTTGCAAAAGAGTTTAAAAACTCAAGACATCATTCAATTAGAAATCAATAAGCAAAAAGACAATACACCCAATGCGGAAAGATCTCAAACAAATGAACCATTTACAACAGTTGAAGAATTTGATGATATAAACCAAAAGTGTTCAACAGAAAAATTTGATGATTGTAAAATCATAAATTGTGAAAAAGATAATTCTTTTCTATCATCTGAAAATAATAAATTAATTCCTATAAATACAAATTTTAATAAGAAATCGGATGAAAATTTCGATAAAAGAGAACTTGAATGTAGTAATAAAATAACCGATAGTCTTTCAACTGAAACTTGTCCAAAAAATTTTGAATCTCAGGCTATACAATTAGGTATAGATGAAATTAAATCGAATGAACAAGTTAAATCCCAACAAAGTAAAAGCCTTATTAAAATTTCTAATATTCATTCTGATGAATTTAATTCAAACGAAGATAATTGTACCATCGTAGAACCGGAAAATTCAGAACATGGTGCTGAAGATAAAAAAGAATCGTCATCAGATTCATCAAAAATTTGTTATGATTATATTCCTTGTGATCATTTGGGTTACGTAAAAAGTCAGGGTCCGAAACCGTTGGAAAATACTTCCGGGAATTACGAGGAAAAAAATGAAGAATCGTCCAGTAATTACAATGTCGTTTTGCAATTGGACGAAAAGACTGGTTTAATGGTTTCCAAAAAAATTTTAATAGAAAATGAAGAAGAAGAAAACATCAACGACAATTATAATTGTGAACAAGAACAAGAAATGGAAAATTTACAACCGGATGATTTAACAATGAAATATCATTCGAATGAAAAAACGAAAATAAAATTGGGAAATTCATTTTTCACTTGTCCATTTTGTATTGTTTTATTTCCGAAAAACAGTTCGACATTACATCAATTTAAACTTCATCTGGAATATTATCATCCAGATGCAGCTCTCAATATAACGATATCGAACAAGAATTCAAAAAATTCAGATGATTCGAAGCAGAACCCCGTACAATCCTACGAAGAAAATAAAATTCTTCCAAAAAATCATTTCAAAAATAAATTTGGACACGGCATACGGAAAAAAACGATTCAGAAAAAGAAAAAATGCATAGAATTGAAATCGAATTCGCCGAATAACGAATACATTCTTGAAAATAACGAAGACGCGTTGAATGAAACTCAAAAAAAAGCCTTGAATACAAACGAAAATAATAATTATTTCAACGAGGACGAAAAGGAAAATTTTACGGGAGAAGGAAAAAAAATAGAAAATAAATCGAATTCGATGGACGTTTATTGGACGGTTAATTTATCTGTTAAAAGTAGTGAAAAAATTGAAGAAAATGAAGGGCAATCGGAAACGGATATTAAAAATATCACCGCCACCTCATACGACGAAGAAAACAAGATGGCGGATTCCGAACAAAGCAACGATATTAAAATGGAAAATTCGGAACTTTTGCAAGATTCCGGTTTGAGAAGTATTCAAAGATTACCAAAAGGAAATAATAACAATTTTAAAAAAATTAAAATTAACAATCAGTTATTTATAACGCCAAACAAAAAAAATGACATTTTGGAAAAGGAAGGGAATATCGTGTTGGATACCTCATCCATGAACTTGCAACAAAATTTGTTTTTCGATAATCGTAATCAAAATTACGTAATAAATCCTTCGAAAAAAATCAATGCATTTAATTCGTCCGAAATGATTAGTAAAAAAATAGGAAATGTTTCCGTAGACATGAAAGAAGACTGGGACAATTCAAAAGATTCAAGTTGGAGTAACGTATCCGATTCTGAAGGGATGTCGAATAAAAACTCAAATTTAGGGGAAGGTTTCACGTTTAAACCCAAAGGAACGGACAAATTGAAAAGGGAAAGCGAAGTTTGGTCTGAATTTTACGAATCTTTACAAATGGCGGAAAAATTAAAAAAGACGAAAAAGAAAAAGTCCATTTTATACCTCGAACCCAAAGCTAAATCGTCAAGTTTGAAAAATTATTCGTCGAAACGAGTCGTTAAAAAACCTAAAAGGTATAGGGAAAGTTCAGAATCGGAGTATAGTTTGGATGAAAATGATAATTCGGATAGTGATTCGGATTTTACTCCGGCTGTAACAGGAAACGGTTCGCCAAGACTCGAAAATGCGACGGAAACGTGTGATAAAAATAACGACGTGAAAAAACAAAAACTTTTAAATAAATTGGAAAACGTGGATCATAAATTTGTAGATTATTTATTCGATTTGATTGCGAGGAAGGAAAAATGTCTGGAACTGTACAAGAAACACTCGACGTTAAAAAATAACAGGTACAGTCAGGATTTGAAAACGTATAGGAAAAAAGTTCTCAACGGTATCAAACTTCGTGGAAGATCTCTCAAGATACTAAGACATCACGACGTGCCTAATAAAACAGACGAAGAATCTCAGGGGGAAAAAATTGAATTTTCAAAAGATTTTCCACTTCAGCGAACGTATAAAAAAAATCCGGATAACGGATCGGACAACGTGAAAACGGGCGAAAAAAAAAGGGGAAGACCGCGTAAAATCGTCGAACCTGGAAAATTAAAAGAGCGGAGGAGATCGGATAAAGAAGTTGATTTCATCGAGAAAAATTTCGAAAGAGAAGAAAACGTTTGTTCTCCGACGAAACGAAAAAGAAAATTGTCATCGAAATTACAATATTATAAAAAGATAAGTAGTCAACACGACGACAAGGATGATTTTTCATCCGGACAATTAATAACGAACAAATTACCGGACGTGAATAAGAAATTTAGTTGCGCCATGTGCAAAGAAGTTTTCCAAGAGCAAAACGATTTTCGGGAACACATAGTTCAACACAGGTTAGAAGAAAACACGTATCAGTGCATGGAATGCGGTGAATGTTTCGTAGTTCGGCCATCTTTGGAAAAACACTTGCACGCTTTTCACAAGATTAAAAACACGGAGAGATACATAATTGAAAACGAATGTTGTAATTTGAAAAAAGAATCGAATCCCGAATCCGAAAGTGAGCCATTGAAAGAAAATCAATGTAAAGTTTGTAAGGATCAATTCGAAAGAGCCATAGATCTCACGAAACATTTTCGAATACACGGAATGGCGTTCCTTAAAGAATTTAAAAAAGATGGAAAAGTCAAATAATATTCATTTATTATTATTATTATTATTATTTTCTCTTACAAGATTGTGACGAAATAATTAAAAAAAAAAGTACAAATAATATAAAATTTTTTTACTTATAAGGGGTGTGTATTTTAGTCACCAAAATGAGTCAGCTTTAATAATATTATTTATAATAAAATGGATGAGTTTCCGGTTTCGAGAAAAAAACCGTTACTGCCGTTTTTCTATTAGTTTGTAATAAAATTGTAAATTAAGTTTTTTTTTTTTGTTATAACTAAAAGAGAGATTAGTAATTTTTCTTTTTTTTTTTTTTTTTAAAGACTGATATTATTGATTTAAAAATATTTTTCACCGTTGATTTATTTGTTTTTCTCTCTCTCTCTCTCTCTCTCTTTTAAAAACAATATTTTAAATGTTAAAAAGTGAAGATGTTACCTAAAACAACCAAGGTTTTTTTTTACTTACTTACTTACTTACTTATATCTTGTTTTGTTAATTATTATGTCATTGACAAAAAAAAAAAAATATAATTGTTTTTAAAAAATAAAAAAATGTATATAAATTCATAAGTTTTTTTTTTTTAAATGAAATAAAAAAAAGAATTATTATTTTAAAAATGAATGAAAAAAAAAATTAATTACTGGGCGTTTTTTAAAAAAGGGGGGAAATAGTTAAAATGCTTAAGGTAATCGGTTAAAACAAAACAAAACAAAACGAAAAAAAAGGCGCGAGTTTTTAAAATCTTATTAAATTTTGACGTGGAAGGATACTTTTTACCTGGAATGTTTGTGTAATTGTTTGCGCACAGTTGATACCTGATTTTGTTTAGGTTCGGATGTGAGTTTGTGTTTTAATGGTGGTCACATACCTGAATAAAACGATATGAGGGCGGTCACTGTCCTTTTCACCGTGAAACGGAACTCTTTGTTTAATTTTTATTAATATATATATTAATATTATTATATATTTTTTTTTTTAACGTTGATTTTTAACTAACGTTTTTTTATTCTATGAAATTTTTTTTTTTTGTGTTAAATTAAATTTGTGACTAGAGTTTTTATTTTATTTACTGTCAGTGAATGAATGAATGAATCGTTTGTGTTAAATAAGGGTGTGATAAAATAAATAAATAAATAAATAAAAAGGTAATGTTATTTATTAAAATATTTTTTTTTCATGGTTAACAATAACAATTCAATAATTAATACAACAATAAAATCATTTGTTTAAATAAAAAAAAAAAAAATTTCTTTTTTTTTTTTAAAAAGTCATTGTTATTAATTGCAAAAAAAAATTAAAAACAAAAATAGAAAGTTTATTTATTAATAATAATTTAATTTATAAATAAAATATATATATATATATATATATATATATTGATTTATTTATCAATCAATTTAAATTCAAATTATTATTATTATTATTATTAATAATTTATATTATTTATATTAACTTATTTGTTGTTAAACAATTGTCACAGTTGATTTCACTTTGGTTATTTATTAAAAAAATAAAATCAGTTATTAAATAAAAAATTAAATACTCACATTACATAAATATATATTTTTACATAGGTACATAGGTACATAAGTGAGAATAAAAAATTTAACATGATATCATTTGTAATTATGTAAACTATAAAAAATTTTATTACATAAAATTAAATTATTCACTAAATGTTATTATTATTATTATTATTTGTTGCAGAATGAAGTGAATTTATTATTATATTTAATTTTCTTATGGATAAATAAATAAATAATATGCAGTGCTTTTGTAAAAAAAGTAAATCATATAATTGTAGGATAATACTTTTGGATGAACAGGAACTTATTAGAGAAATTCAGGTACGTTTTTCTTTATTTTTCTTTCTTTCTTATTTTCATTTCTCGTGAAAGTTTTAAATTTTACGGTTTATAAACACGCCATTTAAAAATTAAAAATTTTTTTTTTTTAAATGTTAGAAAATTAAATGATTTTTTTTTTTTTTTTAGAACTTATGACTATTTTATAAAATATGTTTTAATTACCCTTAAGGCATGCGTGTCTTTTACTACAATTTTTTTTTTTTTTGTTACATGCTGACGAGAAAACATCAAGAAAATCGTGACTGAAAAAAAAAAAAAATTGAAATGCTACCATTACATGTACAAAAAACAAAACAAAAAAAAAAAAAAAACAAAAAAAAATGTTTTTTGTTGTTCATTCAAAGCACATAACAAAACAAAATGTAAAAGAATAAATATTTGATAATGTAAAAATGTAAATTAATATTTTTATATTATTATTAAGTCTTGTATCTCTCTCTCTCTCTCTCACACACACACACACACATAAATAAATTTATTTAAATTTAAATTTAAATTATAATTTTTTTATTGTTTTTCTTCAAGTTCTTTATTTATTTAAAAAAAAATTTCTGTTTTGTTTGTTTGTTTGTTTGTTTGGTTTTTCAAAATGGCTGTTGTTGTCATCATTTATTATTTCCATCATATTTTATCAAAGTAAATTTTTTTTTTTTTTACTTGTTGGAATTAATTTCTAAAGAAAATTTAAATTTTAATTATTAAAATGTTAAAAACATTTTCCTTTGTTTTAAACAAAAACAAAAAAACATTCGATTATGTTAAAGTAAAAAAAACATTTTCTCGATAAAATGTAAGGGAATGTAAAGCACAAATTTCTCAAAAACAAAACCTTTAGAAATAATAATAATAATAATAATAACATAATTTTGTACGTTCAGGTTTCCTCTACCTTATGAAACCTAATAAAAAAAAAAATTTTAAACCTACAATTCATTTTTATAGAAAATTAACTTAAAAAAAAAAAAAAAAAAACGTTTGAGATTTTTTTAAAAATTAATTTTCCTCGAGGGCTTTTTTTTTTTTTAAAAAAAAATGATCAAAATGTTGAACCTTTAATTTTAATAATTGTTTTTTTTTAGTTATATATATATATACAGGGTTTTCAAGTATAAAATTTATTTCCCCCTTCCCCCCCCTTCCCCCCTCTTTCTCTCTCTCTCTCTCTCTCTTTATTTTAATTTATTTTTTTGTTCATTTTGAACCTTAACTGATTGTACAAAAAACCGTAAAGTATTCAATAATTGATTTGAATGATTTAGGGATTCATTCAATCATTCAATCAATCATTCATTCATAATAAAATTTTTTTGTAGGATGTGACAAAAGGTCAAGAAGTATTAAATTCCGTTTTCAAACATTTAAACCTTCTCGAAACTGCTTATTTCGGATTAAGATACGTGGATTCATCAAATCAAACCGTTTGTATAATTTATTATTATTATTATTATTAATTATTTATTTAATAAATAAGTAAAATTAATTTTTTTTTTTTTTAATTATTTGCTACAGCATTGGTTGGATGGGACAAAAGGTGTCGTCAAACAATTAAAAGGTAATTAAATAATTATTTAAATATATATATATAAAAGTTAAAATAATAAAATGATCAAGTCATGTGCGTGTGTGCGCGTGTGTGTTTCGTTAAATAAAACGTTTAAAAATTCTTTGCAATCATCCTTAATACATACAAAGAATATGAATGAATGAATGAATGTGTGTGAGTCATTCATTGTACCTGTGAAACCTTAATAATTTACTCTCAAACATTATTTTAGGAGCAACCGTAAAAATAATTCAGATGAGACTACTTGAAACATCCGTTACAACTTGTTTTTTTTTTTTTCTATTGCAAACTAAGAAACTTGTATAGAAAAAAAAAAAAGAAAAAACCTTGAGAACACATAAATTTTTCAATAATAATAATAATAATAATAATAATAATAATAATAATAATAATAATAATAATAATTTTCCTTTTTCTTTTAAAATTCAAAACTTATTATTATTTTTTGTTTTAAATTTATTTGGAAATTTTAAAGATTTTTCTTTTTTTTATAATAATATAATTAAAGAAAATTAATTATTATTATTTTGATTTTAATTTAATGGAGAAGAAGAAGAAATAATAATAATAATAAAACAATTGAGAAAGTTTTATAAATTTTTTTTTTTTTTTTCAATAGGATCCGATCCGTTTTCATTATATTTCGGTGTTAAATTTTATGCTGCTGATCCATGTAAATTATTAGAAGAAATCACGAGGTAATTAAATTATTAAAATTTTATAATAATAATAATAATAATAATTTCAAATTAATTAAAATAATTTAATTTAATTTTTTTTTTTTTCAGGTATCAGTTTTTTCTTCAGGTAAAACAGGATATTTTACAGGGCAGGTTACCGGTATCATTTGAAACGGCCGCCGAATTGGGAGCATATGCAGTTCAATGTAATTCATTTATTATTATTATTATTATTATTATTATTAATTTTAAAATTTGTTAATTATAAAAATTATTTATTATTTTTTTTTTTAGCGGAAATCGGTGATTACGATCCGAAAAGGCATTCGAAAGGATACGTGTCAGAATTTCGATTTACTTCGAATCAAACGGCCGAATTGGAAGCGAGAATAGAAGAACGACATAAAGATTTGGCGTATGTAAAAAACAAACAAACAAACAAACAAACAAACAATTTTTCGTTTCTGTTTGTATTTTTTTGTTTTTATTATAAAAATATTTCTTTTCAGAGGATTAATGCCGGCAGCTGCAGAATTTAGTTATTTGGAAAAAGTAAAATGGTTGGAAATGTACGGAGTCGATCTTCATCCCGTTTTGGTAAAATTATTATTATTTTTTTTTTTTAAACAATATTTATCTTTCATCATGGCGGTTATTTCATTTGAAATATAATAATAATATATTTTAGGGAGAAGATAACGTGGAATATTTTTTAGGATTAACACCGAGTGGAATAATTGTTTTAAGATATAAGAATAAAGTCGGACATTATTTTTGGCCAAGAATTTCAAAAATATATTTTAAAGGAAAATATTTTATGATTAAAATATGCGGTAGAAACGTGAGTAATAATACTTTATAAATTTCTTTACATTTTTTTTTTTCTTTGTCAAAAATATTTATTATTATTGTTTTGAAACAAATTTATTGTCAGAATGAAGAAAACACTTACGGTTTTGAAACACCGTCAAAATCCGCGTGTAAACACCTTTGGAAAAGTTGCGTCGAACATCATGCTTTTTTTAGACTTTTACAAGTTTCTCCAACTGCGACCGATATATTTTCATTAGGATCTAAATTCAGGTACAGGTATGAAAAATACTTGTAACTAACTAAAACGTTTTGTTTTACAACACAAACTCACTGATCTTGTTTAAATTTTTATTTTTTAGCGGAAGGACGGAAAAGCAAGCTCAAGCTGACGTGCAAATGCAATTACGTACTCCACCTCATTTTTTAAGAACTTCTAGTCGGCGATACCAGAGGCGACAATTTGATAATTCAGAAGGTAAAATTTATTTACTCTATGAAAAATAAATTTAAAATAACGCTTGTAACTGATTCATTGTTTTTTGTAGTTCCCACGATCGTGCAGAGAGAAAATAAAAATCAAAATAATTTAAAGAATGTATCGGTACCCCAACCAATTAATTCGTAAGTTGATTTTTTTTCGTACCTTTTTTACATATATAAATTTAAAAGAATGTTTTAATGTCGGTTTTTACAACAATTTTCATTTTAGAGTTTATCGTTCAATGACGAATTTACCCGTTGGAAACTATGGCAATGATCCACCGGAATCACCTCACAGTACAAGAAGTGCACCATGGTCAACTTCCGGTCGTAGCAGAGGATTATATAATGTTAGCCCAAAATCAATTAAAAATCAAAGAAGTTGTAGTTCGATTCAAAACTTGCAAAAAACTTCGATTCGATCTTCGAGCGTCGACAGTCAAAGTTCTAACGATTCAAGATGTTGTAAAAGGTTTTTTGATTTAAAATTAATTGAAATAAATAACAAAGGAAACAAAATTTAAATTTGTGTTCATTTTATGCCTAGACACAAGAGACACAGAAGTAGAAGATCTTCTGATAACGACAGCGAATTATCCAAATGTTCGAGTAGATCTCACCGTAGGCATAAATCTGGAAACGATTCTGATGGAGGAAGAAATCATAAACATAAACGTAAAAATCGGAGTTCGAATAGAAGGTAAAAAAAGAAAAAAAGACAAAATTTCATATCTCCCCAAACTATTGAATTTAACGTATTTTTTAAAAAATAAAGTTCCAGATATGATTTGGTTGATTCGGAACCTCAATGGCTTGAAGTTCAAAAAAGACAAGCAGAAGGAAACACTGGAGTCCAACAAGCTACTGTAATTAATAATATAAGTAGAACTTCAGGGTATTTAAATAGTGGAATGGAAACAGAATCAGAAAAATCATACAGATATAAAAGAAAACAGCATAAAAAGCATAGGTAATAATGGAAAGGAGGATAATAATATTGTCGAGCATAATTTTTTTTAACTTTATGAATTTCAGGTCTAGGTCGAGATCACCTTCAGATTTTATTAAGGGAAGATTACCGGATGAAGTTAAAAAACATTTAGAATTTAAATTAATCGATACTGAAGGTATGACTGAAACACAATTAAGAGACATACCATATAAAGTAGTTGAGACTAATTCTAAAGGGAAAACTCATAGAAAACAATCATCACCGAGTGGAAAAAGAAAGCATTACATAAAAAATTATGACAGGTAGACAAAAGGAATTCATAAAAAAAAGGGTCATTTTTATAAACGACACAAATATTTAAGGAAATTATAATTTTTTAATTACAGAGATTTAAAACCACAAACATTGACTGAAGATAAAACAGAAATCAGTATTCAACAGAATTCAATTTTAGAAAGAAGCTATCATATTTGCTAACACAGTATTTAGTTTCTTTAAATTAAAATAGAAAATACTTAAAATGATTTAATTTTAACATTTAGAAAACCATAATTTTAAAAAAAAAAAAAACTTTTTTTATGAAATCCAAAGATCATAAAATTTAAGGTGTTTTTTTTTTTTTAAATTGCTTTAAGATATTAAAAATGTAATTGTTTAATTTTGTGTAATTTTATAATAAACTATACTTTGTTTATATATAAAAAATAAATTTTAAATAATAATAAAAATTAAGTATAAAACAAAAAACATTTTCAAGACTTGTTTTTTCGGTTTAATTTTTTTTTTTTATTTTACGATCTATTATTTTCTATCGAAATTGAAAAATACACTGTTGGCACCCCTGAATTCACTCTCAAAATAAAAAGACTGACAACAAAACACCGAATTGAGAACTAAACACTAAACAACTGAAGCCGGTTACAAAATTCCATCTTCTTATAATCTCCCAACTGTTATTTACAACCGTTTATACTACTGGAGGGAAAGTATGATTTCATTTTGATTCATTCCAATATATTAATCCTTATATATTGTTAAAAAAAATTGATTTATTTTTACGAAAATATTTTTAAAAATAATTTTAATTGTTTATGTTAAGCTTAGAATAGATTTTAAAGGGATTTTTTTTTGTATATTTATTAATTTAATTGTTTATAACTGATATTTTTATGGCGAACGATCCTAATAGAGATTTATTACCCGTTAAAGAAGATACTAGTAGAGGTAGCAAAGGTATATTTTAATATTTTTACTGTTTAAGTATATCACTTTTTTTTTTTTTTTTTTTTTTGTAAGGAAGAAAGGGAAAAAACTTATGAAAAACTTGAGTTAACAAAACCCTTTATTTTAGGTTTTCTCGAAAGAATCGACCATCAAATATTAGATAAATTACCAAGATGCGAATTAGAGGATAAATACCTAAGACTTTCTGATGAACAAAGGCATTTGAAAAAGGTGTTGAATACCCAAGAAGAAAAAATAAAAAGGTACAATAAGTACACAAATTTAATAAAATTTACTCACCATTCAACTTTTATTTCGATTAGGTTCTTAATCGCTTATTTAATTCATTGATTATAACAATTTAAAATTTTATTTACAGGCTTGGTACAAAATTATTAAGACTTGTTAATGAAAAAGGAAGTAGTATAAAAAATTCAGATCAAATTAAAGAAGTTCAAGAGTTACAAATAAAAATAATTGAATTGCAACATGAAAATTATGCATTAAAAGATAAAAATATTGTAAGTGTTTTTTTTTTTTTTTTAATTTGAAAAGAAATCTGTTGATAATATTATGCTTAATGTTAAACAAATATTATTTCAGGTACTTAAACAGCAACTATCTGGATTTTCTTTTAATAAAATTTCTCGTTCTACTCCACGTTCGACCCACACTTCACCTTTAATGTCTATTAGACAACCTGCCACTACTCCAAACGAGTGAGTATATTAATGTTTATTTATAAATTATTATTTATGTTAAATCATTTAAAACATTTCATAATTAAAAATCTAATGATTTAGAACAATTTACAATTCGAATAACAGAAATACCACAACAGAGTCTCAACTACACGAAGCAGAAATGCATATCAAAGACCTTAATGAAGAAATTAAAAATTTACATTCTAAGATCACATATTTAGAGCAGGTAATAAAATTATTTATTTATATATATATATATAAAAAATTAACTGGTTAAAAAAACATATTGTTTATTGTAAAGGATATGGAAAAAAATTCTCTAGATAACAGAAAGACAATAGTTAAGGAAAACATTGAAATTATCAGATTGCAAAGATCTTTAAAACAACAAGCTGTTAAAATTGCTGCTCTGCAAGCTGAAATTAAAAATTCTGAAGCTAATCAAACAATTTTGAAAGATGAATTGGAAAAAGCTCGTAAAGAAAGTGGTAAAATAATGGATGAGTTTAATAACGAATGAACAAAACGAATAGAGAAAAGAAGAATTATAAAAAAAAAATAAAATTTCACTCTTTTTTTTTCAGATGAAGCTTTACAAATGGTATCTGCTAAAGAAGATGAAATTTTAACACTAAATGGTAAATTGGAAGAAAAAAATTTAAGAAAATTTGAAGAAGAAGAACTCCGTGAAAGAGTCAACGATTTAAAAGTATTTATAATATATATATATATATTTTATTTTAAATAAAAGAGTAGTGTAGAGTAAATTTTTAAAAAAATGTACTTTTTTTTTAGGAAGAAAGAGATGCTTTAAAAGTAAGAAATGATTCATTATTGAAAGCGATCACGGATAGCAAAAGTGATTCAATTGAGGAAGCAAACGAAGTAAGAAAATTATTAAATGCAGAAAGGAAAAAAAATGAAGATTTGCTAGCGGAAAATTTAAAACTTTTGGGTAAAAAATGTGAATCTGAAGATGAAGCAAACGACATAAGAAATTTATTAAATTCTGAAAGGAAGATAAACGAAGTATTAGAAGCGGAAAATTTAAAACTCATGGCACTCATACAATCATTTTGGGTATGAAAATATCATTATTTAATCCAAAAAATCATCATTATTCATTCATTTTTTTTTTTTTTTTAAAAAAAATTTCTTTTAAATATTTTCAGGATAAAAAACCATGTAATGAAGAATCTCCAAATTGTGTTTGCGATAGTTCTGATAATAATAATAATAATGGGTAAGTTAAAATTAATAAAAGGAAAATCTCTTGTATTTTTCCCTTTTTCTTTTTTTAACCTAACTTATTTTCTTTTTTTTCAGGAAAAATGTGAAACGTGGAGGAATTGTAAGTTTTCCCTTTTTTTTTTTTTTGATGATAATAATAATGAATATAATATAAATTGTTATAATTTTTTTTTTTTTTTTTTAGATTAGTACAAATGCTTTTGTTTTACCAGAAAAAGGAACGACGAACGATGAAGATTTTGTCGAGGGTAAATAAATCCCACCTTTTGTTTTTTTTTTTTTTTTTCAATTAAAATTTTCCTTAATTTATTATTATTATTATTATTATTATTATTATTATTAAATTTAATGTAGAAAATAAGAATTTTTAAATATATTTTTTAGATGCCACACCTTTCAATGCAGCTTCTGTTACTAAAATGTAAGTTTTATTACTCTCTACTAAGTAAATATTTTGGATATATGTTAAAAAAAAAGGAAAGATTTTTAATTAATCGCCATTTTAATTTATTTTTATATTTGCACCATAATTTTAAAATCTACACAATTATTTAATCGATATATATAGAACTTAGGAGTAGTAGTAGTAGTAGGAGGGGGAGGGGGGGAAAAAAAGTTTAAGCACTATGTTCTTTTGGCCAGCTTGATCTCACTTTTTAACAAAAGTTTTGTTAATTTTTTTGTAGTCTGAAGTTTTGTTCCTTGAAATTAATCTGTATCACCTGAAAGAAATAGATTCACTACTTGGCTAACTTCTTCTGCTCTGGTCAGCTGGCCAAAAGCCGCATGTAAGTAATATTGAACTCAAGTACGCTATCACTAACACATATCACGTGTTTTATAAAAAAAAATTTTCTTTTAATTTTCCGCCATTGTTATTAGGTTCACATAAATATTATTTTGATATTTTGGAAAAAATGTTTTTGTTTAGACATGCCGAGGATCCCGGTAACGTTCAGGAAGATCCATTCACGGACGTTTTAACAATAACTTCTGCGGATAAAATAACAATGGAAAATGAAGCAATGTATTTGAGAGACATGTTGAAAAGGCAAACGGAAACGTGCGACGAACTCCGTTTCGAAGTTTGTACATTTCCTTTTTTGTAAATTAAACAAAATTTTTTTTTTTTTTTTGCATTAATTATTATTATTATTATTAATTTATAGATAAATCGTTTAAAATCGGAAATTAAAGTCAACGAAGATAAATTTAATTTTACTCTTAGAAAAATCGAATCTTTCCTAACGAAATTTAACAATACTGAAAAAGTACCCGTACCGTAAGCATATCAATCCCATTTTACAATATAATCATCGTAAAATATTTACTAATCATTAACATTATTAATATTATTATTATTATTATTGTGATCAATTCTTTTTAAAAAATAAAAGAAAAATTTGATAATTATTTAATTGTGTCAGTTCTAGAAATATTCCTGCTGCATGCATCCAAACCACTTCTAATATTTCAAGGGTGAAAATAATTGAAGCAGAGGTTTCGACCGAAAATACAAATACGGCAATCATTACAGAACCTGATAAAAAGGAAATGGCAAATTTAAAGTAAATTTATCATATGATTTTTTTTCGAAATAACTTGCCAGTAAAATTTTTTTTTTTTTTTTTCCAATTAAAATTAATCTTCAAAGAGTAGGAACTAACTGTAGTTTTGATTTAATAATTTCCATGGATTTATTAATATTATTATTATTATTATTGTGATTAATTAATTTTTTATTTTCCTTGACAAAAAAAAAAAAAAAAAAAAAAAAAAAAATGTGTTAATTTTAGAAGTACTCCTCTTACTACTACTATTCAAACTACCAGTGTTATTCCGATAGTAAAAATAGTAGAAATGCAAACTTCGAATGAATCTAACAAATTTATGAATAACGAACCTGATAAAACAGAAATTTTATGTTTAAAGTAAATTAATAATTATATATTTATAATTTGTTTATTTATATTTTTTTTTTAAATAACTTACTATGAAAATACTTTTTTCCAGAACCGGTCTTCAAAGAATAACACCTAACTATACTTTTTATATATATTTTAAGTATTTTCTATCTTAGTGCGTGTAAATTGTGTTTTTCTATTTTAATAATCATTTAAATTTTTATATATTATTATTATTATTATTATTATTATTAGTATTGTGATTAATCATTTTTTTTATTTTTTTGAAAAATATTGTCAATTTAATAATTATATATTTAATTGTGTTAGTTCTAGAAGTATTCCTGTTACTCCCATTCAAACTACTTCTGGTGTTTCAAGATTAAAACTACTGGAAGCTGAGCCATCGAAAGAATTTACCCCATCAATCATTAGTGAACCTGATAAAAGGGATAATTTAATTGCACAGTAAATTTATTATTTATATTTATCTATTGATCTTTTGATATAATTTACCATAGACCATTTATTACAGCAGAATCAGTCTTCAAAGTGTAGCACTTAACTGTAGTTTTTATTTAGTAATCATGGATTTATAATAATTATTATTATTATTGTCACTTTTAAACACGAAAAGATTTGTATTTGTCCGGGTTTTTAAGCATTTATTCCAGGTTTCTACCCGACGATTCCTTAGGGATAAATGGTCGAATTTTATTGGTGCGTTATTATAGTATTTCCCTAAGAATGTGGGTCGTCCCACATAGTGCGATTTCCTGTACGGTATCTTCTTTTAGGTTCTTCAAAATCTTCTTTAAATTTCCTTTCATTGAGTGTAACATGGCTCCCAGTGCTGCTCCCACGATGACCGGGATAGTTTCTGTCTTTATTCTTCACATCCTGGCTATTTCAGCCTTTTGTCTGCTTCCTTGGCTGTCTGGTGCCAACCTGCCGGCACGGATACTTCAGTTAGCTTACACTATTTTTCCGCATTATGCCTGAGGATGATATCCGGTTTGTTGGCTGGCACAGTTCTGTCAGTGTGGATTTGTTGATCATACAAAACTGTGCGCGGACCTACTGTCGTAACCGGGCTTGGAATGTGGTGGTAGCACTCCTTGAGTAATCCATCCATTCCATATTCTCGGCAGATATTCATTCCAATGAAGATATTGACAAATGTTATTGTGCCTCTCCAGATATTCATGTTTTCCCAATATCAGCACATACCATCTTGGCGGACTTTTTACCTTCTCACAGTTATGAGTCCGCAGTGCCTGGTCTTGTGCAACTGTAATAAACGCTTCTGTTTCAACCCTTATTAACTTACCACCCCTTAACCAGCTATCCGTGCTTTTCTTGTTAATATCTGAGACGTTTACTTTTTTTAGATATTGCCCAAGCAACTTTTTCTGTTCCCATTTGTTCTTCAGTTTTCTCACGGGATTAGGCTTTGCCATTATAATTTGCAATCTGCTTATTATTATTATTATTATTATTGTGATTATTGTGATTAATTATCTTTTATTTTTTATTAAATATTGTTAATTTAATAATTATTTAATTGTTTTAGTTCTAGAAGTATTTCTTATACTCCTGCTCAAAGTATTCCTCATATTTCAAAATTAAAAATAGTAGAACCAGAGACTTTTAAAGAATATACCGAACCAGTAAATAATGAATACGATAAAAGGGATAGTTTATATCCAAAGTAAATTTATTATATATATATACCTCTTGATTTTTATAAATAATTTATCATAGAATTAATTTTTTATTTAATAATAATTAATTTATTAATATTATTATTATTATTATGATTGATTAATCATTTTTATTTTGAAAAATATTGTCAATTTGATAATTATTTACAATTGTGTTTGTTAATTGTAGAAGTATTCCTAGTACTCCCATTCAAACTACTTCTGGTGTTTCAAGATTAAAACTAATGGAAGCTGAGCCATCGAAAGAATTTAGCAGATTAGTTATTAACGAACCTGATAAAAGGGATAGTTTATATCCAAAGTAAATTTATTATATATATATATATTTACCTCTTGATTTTTATAAATAATTTACCATAGAATTAATTTTTTATTTAATAATAATTAATTTATTAATATTATTATTATTATTATGATTGATTAATCATTTTTATTTTGAAAAATATTGTCAATTTGATAATTATTTACAATTGTGTTTGTTAATTGTAGAAGTATTCCTAGTACTCCCATTCAAACCACTTCTGGTGTTTCAAGATTAAAACTAATGGAAGCTGAGCCATCGAAAGAATTTAGCAGATTAGTTATTAACGAACCTGATAAAAGGGATAGTTTATATCCAAAGTAAATTTATTATATATATATACCTCTTGATTTTTATAAATAATTTATCATAGAATTAATTTTTTATTTAATAATCATTAATTTATTAATATTATTATTATTATTATGATTGATTAATCATTTTTATTTTGAAAAATATTGTCAATTTGATAATTATTTACAATTGTGTTTGTTAATTGTAGAAGTATTCCTAGTACTCCCATTCAAACTACTTCTGGTGTTTCAAGATTAAAACTAATGGAAGCTGAGCCATCGAAAGAATTTAGCAGATTAGTTATTAACGAACCTGATAAAAGGGATAGTTTATATCCAAAGTAAATTTATTATATATATATATATTTACCTCTTGATTTTTATAAATAATTTACCATATAATTAATTTTTTATTTAATAATAATTAATTTATTAATATTATTATTATTATTATGATTGATTAATCATTTTTATTTTGAAAAATATTGTCAATTTGATAATTATTTACAATTGTGTTTGTTAATTGTAGAAGTATTCCTAGTACTCCCATCCCAACTACTCCTTATCTTTCAAGACTAAAAGTAGGAGAAATGGAGCCATCGAAAGAATTTAGCAGATTAGTTATTAACGAACCTGATAAAAGGGATAGTTTACATCCAAAGTAAATTTATTTTATATATATATATATACCTCTTGATTTTTATAAATCTTACTTGTCACTAAAATATTTATTATTTTTTTTTTTTTTCATCAGAATCAGTCTTCAAAGAGTCGTACCTAGCTGTAGTTTTGATCCAGGAACGACGAGAAGTCAAAATTTTTACATGGAACCACAGAAGAATAACGAAGAAAAAATTTCTTTTAAAAAGTGAGCTTATATATATATAAATAAATAATATATTAATTAAATTTAAAAGAATTAATTATTAAAATTGTACACGCACACGCACACACACACACACAGGTCAAAAGGATCGGTTGTGAAAAAAAGATTTGTAGATCAAGAATTTTTAAATTCAAGCGATGATACTGATAACAACGATGAAAAATTAGATAAGAAGCAGCCATTGGTAAAAAAGGTAAGTGGTAAATTATTATTATTTTTTTGTTATTGTTCCAAATTTTACCAAATTGTATAATTTTTAATTGTTTAACAGGGAGATATGCAGGAATACGTCGAGGTTCCATTTTCCGAATTTAAAAGAGGACAAGAAAATACGCAATCATCCAATTTTTATCGAAGTTCAATTTTAAATTCACATTCGGATAATATAAATAAAGCCATTGCTAACTACGGTAAGTGTCATACATCATCTTGTACTTCAACAAAATCCTCATTAAAAAATTATTAATAATAATAATAATAATAATAATAATAAAATGATGATGATGATAAAAGTTTTAATTATTACTTTTATTTTTTTTCTTTAGGCAAAAAACCAAAGACAATGAAAAGAAAATCTATAAAAGATGGAAAAGTCATAGAAGTAAGTTAGTTGTAAAGAAATTATTATTATTATTATTGTTGTTGTTGTTGTTATTATTGCTGTTATTATTGTTGTTGTTGTAATTTTGTCTTGTTTCTTTTGTCAGATATCAATTATCTCTTTTCAAATAGACGACACAAAAGATATTTGGAGAAGAAATAGTTACAGCATAATTTTTGCGGATTTTATTTTTCTGGATGTTAAAGGAGAGAATACGGAAACTCCAGAATCACGTCCCATACCTAAAACAAGCGACGAAATATGCGAATTTAATTTTCGAATCGGTACTAATAATAATAATAATAATAATTAATTCTTCCTTCACATTTTTTGTTGAGGTCGAGTAACGGTCGTTTGGAAAATTAATTAAACGTTTGTTTGTTTGTTTGTTTTTAGAAATTGTCATAACAGATAAACATTTACAAGCTTTAAATTCTGTAAAATATAATCTCGAATTAGATTTGATTATATTTAAAATAGTAACCGATACAGATTTGGAAGATAAAGATTGCGAAGATATCGGGTAAGTAATTAATTAATATTATAAAGTTAATAAAATTTATTAATTAATTTTTGTTTTTTTTTATTTATTTATGTAGAGTTGCCGTTGTTACAGTTCATGATTTTTTATTAAGTTTCAACAGAGGACCATTTTCAATAGATGTTCGAAACATGTCAAATCATTCGGAAATAATTGGAACGTTAGTCGTTGAAATTTCCGTTTCCCCCGAACTTGAAAATATACATTTTTTTAAATTGTAATTTTTCTTTTTCTTTTTTTTTTTTGTTTTGTGAAATTATATGGTGTGATATTTTCTTTTCTTTTCTGTTGTTTTCTTCCTGTCGTAAATTACAATTACTAAAATCATTTTTTTTTTTCAATAAAATAAAAAAATTACTATCTAAATATGTTTTTTTTTTTTTTTTTTTTTTTTTCATAGTTTTAGTTATTATTTTTAAAAAAAATCTAAAGGTGGCAGCCCCATCAAACAGCAGAAGTTAGTTAATGTGTACGATAAGGGAAAAAAAAATGTTTTTCAACCGTAATTTTCATTAAAAAATTTCAACTTTTTTTTTTTTTTTTTTTTTTTTTTCTTGAAAATGGATGCAATTTAAAGTCGATAATGACGACGAGAAAGTTATTGTTGTTATTTTTAATTTGATTTAAAAGACATTGTTATAATAATAATTAAAAATTACATTTGTGTTTGTGTTTAAGGGTTATGTCAAATATATTGTTTATAATACAAGGCGGTGAAACAAAAGTTTTTTTTATATATATTTGTATATTGAAAATAACTGTATATCTAAAAGAAAAATAAATTTTTTTTTTTAGATTACCAAGTTATTGTATTAAAATAATCAAAAGTTAAATAATTAATAAAATGGATAAAATTGTGGAAAAAAAAATTGGCATGATACAAGAAAAGAAAATTATTTTATTTAAAACAAAATATTTATTAAGGAATGAAATACTTTTTCCTTTTTTGCATTATGTTAATAATAACCGTGTCTGAAGGTTTACCTAAGGATCTTTTTCGAAAAAGGAAAATTTCAAACATTAATAATAATAATAATAATAATAATAATAATAAAATTGGAATAACGAGAAATTTGAATTCCATGTACAACATCCACCAAACCACCGCCAAAGACATTTTAAAAGATTTAAATTTATTATTGAAATTTGAAAATCCTCAAGATAAATATCAAATACGTAATCAACTCATACAAATAATGAAAAATAATCATTTATTTAATCCAAATAGTTTTTATTATGTTGATAGGAAAAAAAAATATTTGAAAAATAAAATTACGCGTGGTATGAAAAAAAATTCATTCATTCATTCATTCGACGTTAAATCTCGTAGAAAGTTAAATCCAGTAGATAAAAATCGAAAAAAATATCGACAATTAAATACCGATATTAAATTAATTAATAAAAAAAAATCAGTTGATCCGATATACAGAAGAATAGTTAATTATAAAAACAAACGCAGTGCATTTAACACAAACAATATAAATAATGTGAATGAAAAAAAATTTAAATATCCACATTATTATTATTATTATAATGATAAAAATGATAATAATAATAATAATAATAATTACGAGTTAAATTATGACGTAAACAATCAAAGAGAATACGATTACGATTTTCCTACGAGGGAATGTAGTAGTGGGAGTATTGGTAGCATTGGGAGTAGTGGTAGTATTGGGAGTAGTGGTAGTAGTGGTAATTTAAAAAAAAAATGTCAAATAAATTCATCGTCTTTTACTTCGCCATTTTATTACGACGACGATTCAAATGATTATTCATTGTCGCCAACGTCGCTGCGAAAAATATCATTCCAGCATCCCTACGATCCGAACATATACGAAGGTTCACCATCGTTTCGTTCAAACACGGTCGGATTGAGAGATAATAACAAATTGGAAGATTCCAATAAAAACGGCGGGGGTAAATATTTATCACCACCATCATCATCATCATCATCATCACCGATTGAAAATGTCAACAATTTAAATCGTATATTGGGAGAAGTCGAAAGCGTACTCAAAGGAAAACCGGCTAATGTAGATGAAGTTGATGTTACGGATGTGATGAATCAAAAAGAATTAAACGATACCGCAGCCATATTGTTACAAAAAGAAATGACCGCCGCACCGGATACGATAAAAACTAAAATAGATAAATACGTTATTCCGGTTTTGTCGGAATTATCCGACGCTTTGGGAACAATCAACAAAACGGACATTTATAACGCTCACAACGGTAACGTAAATTCAAACCAGACGACAACAAATGTTGGCAACGGTACGAATTTAACAAACGGTACGACTTTAACGAACGGTACGAACAATTTAACTAATGGTACGAACAATATAACCAATGGTACCAACGTTAACAAAACGTCAACATCGAAAAAAGCGGATTCCGCTAAATTACACAATATGAAAATAGGTACGTACGTTACGTTATACACTCTATGAATTTTTTTTGGATGACGTCATTAACGGATTTAATACAAATATGTTTCAGATCGGGGTTGCATTCCTCAAGGTCTATGGTCGAGTAATTCATTAGGAATCGATTTAAATTTAACAATTTTACCCAATTTAATGTTAAAAATAGAACTTAAATCTTTAAAAAAAAGTGGAATCATTGATAAAAATTGGTTTTTGGAAGGTATATCAATGTCGAAAAAAGGGGGACCACTTATTATCATTGGTCTCGATCCTCCTAAACGAAAAATTGCCGTTTTTATCGGTTCGTTTATTTTTATTTATTTATTTATTTAAAATTTTTTGTTTAATTTTTTTTTTTTTTTTTTTAAATTTTATTTTTTAATTAAATTAAGGTCAATGTAAAATTTGTCAAAGTGAAGATTATCTTTTTGGCGTTTGGACATTTTCTAACTGTGCTGCAAAATGTACAGATGTATGGTCAGCAATGGAATCAAAAATGGATGTTTTTAAAAGGTTACATTTTTTCCTTTTTTCCTTTTTTTTACAAAAAAATTAATTAATTATTTATAATAATAATAAAAAAAAAAAAAATTTTTTTTTTTTAATAATTTCAGGAAAAAAATTTATAAAAGAAAAGATTGATTGATTGATTGATTACAATGAAAATAATAATAATAATAATAATAATTTCAAATATTAATAAATGCAAGTTATTCAGTTGATTATAATGTAACAAACATGAGTTTTTTTTTTTTTTCTATGTAAATAAATAAAAATAAATAAATACAAAAAAAAATAAAATAAAGTTAATCGTTTTAATAATAATAATAATTGTTGTTGTAAATACGGTAGCCGTATTTTTATTTATTTATTTATTTGTTGTTGTTAAAATTAAAAAGGATTTGCGCAGAAAATAAATGACTTTGAGATCTCCTTCTTCAGTTTGTGCTTTTCGTTGGTCATGTGTTAACGTTTTTTTTTTCTTTCTTTCTTTTTCTTTTTCTTTCTTTTTTTTTTTTTATATATATATATATACGTATAGGTAAGAATATTATTTTTTTTATATATTTACACATACGCACTCTCTCTCTTTCTCTCTCTCACTCTCTCTGTTATTACTTATTTTTTTTTTTAAACAATATCTTTCTCTCCCACCATTTTTTTCGTTACATTATTTATCTGAAACATTTTAAATAAATCAGTGTGAAATAACACAATAGTTAACTTGCCAAACTTCGGAGAAAAAAAAAAATGTCAAGAAGTATTTTGAGTTTTTATACTTCCTTTGGCTGTCGGCCATTAAAAAAATTTTTTTTTTTTAACATTGCGTTATTATCAAAAATAATTACGGGAGAAAATTTTGTTATTAATAATCATCATCGATAATAAGATGATAATAATAATTTTAATAAATTTTTTATAAGTAAAATTATTACACTTAAATAATATTTTTATTTAAAAATTATTTTTTAAAATGGCGACATATTTAAAAAAAAAAAACAAAACCGTTAAAAAATTTTTTTTTTTTTTTATCTATGAATAGCTTGAGCGTAGCCTTGGCACAACAAATAATAATTTTTAAATAAATTTATTAAATAAAAATAAATAAATCGTTTTTTTTTATTATTATTATTATTATTATTTTATTATTTTTTACAATAAATAATATTTTTTAAAAAAAATTTTCCGTTAAAATTTAACGTTTGTTTATTTGTTATTTAAATTTGTTGTCGTTGTCGTCGTTATGGAAATTTATTTAAATATTAAATAATAACATTATTAATTATTTGTTTATATATATTTTTTTTAAATTAACAATAATAATAATAATAATTATCAATAAATTTTAAATGATTTTTTTCCCTCGTTCCAGTACTTTCTCTATTTTTTTTATTTTTAAAGTCCCCCCCCCCCCACACATATTGATAATATATTTATTTTTTTTGGCACTAATTAATAACTTTTGTCTTGTTAATTTCAATAATAATAATAATAATAATAATAATAATAATAATAATAATAATAATAACACCTTGTCATATGTTATTGACCCATCAAACAAAAAAAAAAGGGAAAATTGACGTTCAAGGAGGAGAAGGAAAATGTGCCATTTTTTTTTTTCTTTTGCTGATTGCGATTCTCTTTTTTTTTTTTTTCGTAGGTTTTTCTTCTTCTTCTTCTTAATATTATTATTATTATTATTGTCTATTTACACGAAAAGATTTTATTTTAATTTAACAATCACTGTTGATGTAGTAAAATTTAATGATAATAAAATGATTAAATTCATGATTCTTGGTAAAATGATGACAATTTTTTTTGTATTTGGCACACTCCCGATGGTTTTGATTTAAATAAAAAATTTTCATTTCATTTCGTGTACGGGGGGGAGGGAAGAAAGGGGAGGGGGCCAACAGTACAAAAAAATTTAAAGATAGGTAAAGAAAAAATGAATTGATAATTTTAAGAAGAAGAAGAAAAAAAAAAAAATTGGCAAAAACTCATCGGAGATTAGTAATCGTTTATTTTTTTTCTTTTTTCTTTCGCCCCCCCCCTCCCGCCCCCCAACATATTAATTATATAACGAACAAAATGAAAGTAAGTTTTTATGTTTTTCATTTATTATAATTAATTAATTACATCGAAACAATTAATCATCGTTCATTTTTTCTCATCACAAATCTTTTTTTTTTTAAAAAAATGTTTTCAGGTATTTAAACAAACGTTATTTTTAATTTCAGGTATTAAACAAACAAACAAACAAACAGAGGAATCATGTCTTATCATTCGTCTTCTAGTAGAACTTCGAGTAAAAGAACAATAACAACAATAAGTAGCGAAATTATATCGACAAAAATTCCATATCAAGTAAGTAACCCGCCATTTTGTTTTTTTTTTTTCAAAATGATAATTTCATCCCCCTACAAAAAAATCATCATCATCATTATTATTATTATTATTAATAAATACGTTAAACGATTTACGAGTAATAAAATATTTACGTAGAAATAATAATAATATTTATATTAATCGTAAAAGTTTCTTCCGTGAGATTTTTCGTCACTTTTTTTTTTTAATGGACTGTCAGTCAATAAACGGCAGGAAAAATATAATAATAATAATAATAATAATGATAATAATAATAATAATAATGTTTTGTGTGCCATTTTACAACTGAGTTTAACCAGAGTTTTTTTTTTTTTGCGTTAACCAAGAAGTGCAATAAACTGATTTCTTAAGTTATATTGAGAATTATTTTTAGTTTTTTTTATATTTTATTTATACGAATCCCTTTAGATAAAAAGGGATCTTTCTGACATTTTAAATTGGGAAAATTATTTTGAGTCCCGGTTTTTTTTTTTTTTTTTTAAAAAACATTTTTCAAGTACGTTTCGTTTAGTGAGCCGAAAGATTTTTAACAATCAACACATTAAATCCGGGAATTTTTTTTTTTTTGTGATTTAGTTTAATTTTCATTCTCTCTCTCCCCTCTCTCTCTCTTTTAATATTTATTTATATTAATATAAATATTTTTTATTAATTGTTTAAAGTTTATACGGGAAACGGGGTTTATTATTAACAAAAAAAAAATTATTTTTTAAATAATATTAATTTTTTATTTTTTAATAAGTGTGTTTGTGTGACATTTATTTATTATTATTATTATTAATATATTTTTATGTGTCATTTTTTATTAAATAAATATCGATCGAATTTTTATAAACAAATTGTGTCAGATTAAAAAAAAAAAAGGAATTGAATGTTTACGAAAATATTTTAGTTTTTAAAAAAAATGTCGTTTTGTCGTATAACGGGAAAATCCCGAGGGTTACCAAAGCCTAATTATTTTCCCATTTTACCACCCATTTCACCGGCTGATGCTAAAAGACTTTGTAGGATAACAAATAAATCTCAAGGTCTTCCCAGTCATCATTACATACCTGCTCTCGCTGCGGCAATAAATTTGCGAACGCATTGCAAAGTGACAGCCAAATCCGAAGGACAGGGTCCACATCATTATCCCAATATGGATGACATATGTAAACCTCACGTTTTGATACCTGGTTACAAATACCTTTTCCCGAAATTTGACGAAGATGAAAAAAATCAAAAATCTTTACTTAAACTCATGTCCTTGAAGGATAGCAATGATAGTTCTAACATACGTTACGTGTATTGCGTCGAAGAAAAGAAAACGAATTTGGTTATTCCCGCTGGACTTGAGGCTGCGGTCAGAGATGGTGACGTACGAGATGTTATGTTGGGACAAGAAGGTGATACGATATTGATAAAAATGTATCACGGGCCTAATGTGACGGTGAACGTTGATAATTTTATTATGAATAAAGACACGGTCATGTTTGATGGAATGGGTCCCAGTGAAGAAGTTCTTGCACGACAAATGGCTGAAAAAAAAGAAAAAGATGAAAGGAAAGCGAAAAATATCGAAGCGCTTAAATCTAGGAAGAAAATTTTCGAAGATCGAGAAAAATTGTACGATAAAGAAGACATGGAAAATGCAAATATTGAGGAAAGAAGAAAAGCAAAATTATTGCAATCGAAACTTCTAGAAAAGGAAAGGTTGAAGAATCGCATGCATAATTTAAGTTATATTAAAGAACAAATGCTTTCGGATACCGAAGCGTGTGATCCTGTTTTCGGTCACATTGTCCAGACTTCTGAATCTTTTTCATTTTATCCTGGAGCGTCCATCGTTGACCTACCCGAGGGTAAAATAATACCCGGAAGATTAGAAAAAAAAGACAACGGTGTTAAATTTGTACCGGGTATGATGTTTGAAGAAAAATTCGTTCCTGGACAAATGGTCGTCACTAATAACGGGGAAGAATTCGTACCTGGACAAGTCATCGAAACTCGCGAAGGACCTAAATTCGTACCCGGACAAATGGTCGAAACATCAACGGGCCCGAAATTCGTACCAGGTCAAACGATAATGACTGAAAACGGTCCGGAATTCGTACCTGGACAAATAATACAAACTAAAGCGGGACCGACTTTTATTCCCGGACAAATTATTGTTACGGGTCACGAAGCCAAGTTCGTTCCTGGAAGAGTTATAGAAACCGTAGACGGTCCTTGTTTCGTACCTGGAAGAGTAATTGAAACGGGAGATCAAGTCATATTTGTTTCCGGGCAAGTAGTGGAAACACCGGAAGGTTTAAGATTCGTAGCTTCAGATTTAGAAAATGCAACTGATGGAGTACAAGAATACTCGGTGCAAGGGTTCGAAGTAACTCCGGAAGAACTAAAATTACTTCGTCCGACATATGGTCACTTCGCTTGCGATTCTACGGCATCTATTAATTCTGAAATGCTTAGACAATTATCGGAAGCTGGCATGTCCCTTGGTCGACAAATAAGTTCAGAACTTCCAAGAGTGGACGTTCGTTCCCTACCTTTAGCTTTAGAAAAATTGAACCTGAGCGGAGAACCTGCAGCCAAAATGACTCAAATAGTATGGTCATTAGCACAAATCGCATTAAAAGTGAATCAACTGGATGAATCTTGCACTTCTTCCGTTAATTTAAATGACGTGGGAGTAGAATTGGTAAAAAAAGTTGAAGAAAGTAAAAATTTAGAAAAATATTTACGGGTTATAGTCGCATCGTCATTGATCGAATGTCGAAAACACGAAAATTTGACCGAAGAAGAATTAATGGTAGCAGTTTCATTAGCTCTGGAGAATACTTTGAAAGAAGCAAGTACCTTAGATGACGTATCGATAGAAAAAGTTATAGAAAGTGTTAATAGTTATTTAAAATCTCCGGAAAATTTAAATCAAATAAGACTAGAAGTATTAAATTATTTAGAAATTTGTGAAACATTAGAAGATCAAATTAAATTTGTGACCGATGTTAATTCCGAACCTAATAAAGTAATTAAAAAAATATCGAAAATATTAAACGAAAACATGTCGGAAGGTTTTAATGAATTATTTTCAAACGATTCTAATCTCGTGGCGGAAGTCATAAAACAAATTAGTCAAACACAGGAAGTCACGTCAAAATCACAATTAGAAAACATTCTTCAAAATGCTATAGTGTCGGTTGTAAAAGAAAAAACAGAAAAAAAATTAATAAATGTTTTATCTAGTAGAAAAGGTAAACGTCAACAAGGAGAAGCAGAAGGAGATGCAGATGCAGAAGTTGAGGAAGAAGAAGAAGAAGATTTTGAAAATTTATTACAACAAGCCATAGGTCTAGCAAAAGCTTTGGGAATGAGTAACACCGCAAGTAAACTCATGGTCGCTGCAACAAATCCTGCCGTTATTGAAATGTTATGCAACGATAGTTCAGTTAAAGCCATTTTGCAAAAATTAATGGTTATGCATCAGATAGCAAAAGCAAAACCAAAATTTGCCAACGCGTTGAAAAAATTAACGGTCAATTCGGAAGCGGCGAAAAGCGATTCGTCAGTTAGGGAACTATTAAGGTGTAGCACGGCACTTATGGCAGTACCACAAAAAAATTTGGAATCTTCGGCGGAAATACCATTATCTCTCCTACTATCAAGTAATAATTTAGCCATCGAAGATTATTTATCGAACACGAAAAGACCTAAAATATTATTGATATTAAAATCAGGTCTTCAAGCAGTGGTACCTAGAGAAGCAGCTCGTGCAGTTTTGACCGGTAAGGTTCCGTATGCGGTCATGGACGAAAAGGGAATAAAATATTTCGAACCTCTTCACGTATTTTCCACAATGAAACTTCCTAAATATGCTGCCCGTTGTTTCACCATGTATTGCTGCCCGGAAATAGATTATCGAGTACAAGAACCTAAAATTAATTTAAACGGTATAACTCCAACTTCAGAAGAATATTAAGAAAAACCGGAAATACTTACTTTTGTTAAATTCGTCGTCGTAGTTATTAAGTTTTATTTTCTTTAAAAAAAAAAACTTTTTTTTTTTTTTGTGTGTTAGTTTACTGAACTATTATATACAGTCTTACTACAAATAATAATAATAATAATGATAATGATAATAATTTTATTATTAAATAAGAAGAAGAAATAATCGGGTAAGAAAATTTAAATTATTTTTATATTGAATTCATGTCAAATCAATAAAACTTTTTCGAATTTTAATGGTTTGTAACGATTTATGACGTAATAGATTTAAAATAATTTTTTTAAATGGCGGTGGTGGAAGGAGGAGGGGGAGGGGAAGGGGGGGGTTTCGGTGCAAAATGACCCCCGCGAGGATCTCGTATAAATTTTAACGTTTTAAAAAAAAAATTAATTTCCTGTTTTTCGTTTTCAATTTATTTTTACGCTTTCTATATATACACACGCGCACGCTCATACATTTTAAATTAAATTTTCCGTTCATTTTTTTTATTATTTTTATTCGATTTCAAATAAATAAACAAAATAATAATAATAATAATAATAATAATAATTAAAAATAATAACGACTTTCGATTTTTTTTTTCCCTCGCCTCTACGTCATTAATATTAATTTGTTTTGTGAAAAAAAAAAAAAATGGCGGATATATTAAATGACACAAACGATGCCGACGATTAAATAGGACAAATTTTTCTCGATTCCATGTTATAATAATAATAATAATAATAATAATTTATTATAAATAAAAACAAAATGGCGTGTCGTCAAGACAATTTATTTTTAAAAAATTATCAAATTTTAAAAACCGTTAAAAAAATGGCAAACCGAAAATTATCCATAACGACGTAAATAAAATAGACGAATGGACGAACGAACGAATGAATGAATGAATGAATGAATGAATGAATTAGAGATGATAATAATAATAATGGAAAACGTCAAAATGTTATGCATATATGCATCAAATTTGTTTTTGAATGATTTTTGGCAAACATTTAATTAAGGTGAAAAAATCAAAAAAAAAAAAAAATGTTTTTTACGTTTTCTCACGGTTGTTAAAACAATTCAAATTAAAAATAATAATAATAATAATAATAATAATAATAATAATGACAGATGATTTTTGACGTCGTATTCATTATTCAAGTTACAATTGAAGTTTTTTTTTTATTAAATCATTTTGGCAAACTTATTAATAAATAAAATTTTTTTTTTTTTTTTTTTTTTTTTTCATAAATGTGATTTTAATTCTCATGCAATTATAAATGATTTAAAACTCGATGATAATGATAATAATAATAATAATAATAAAAAGAATTCAACGGAAACGGGGGAAAAAAAAAAAAAATGTAAAAAAAAAAATTACAAGTTCGTTCAACTTTATTATTATTATTATTATTATTATTATTACGGTTTTCAAATTTGGTTCAGGGATCGAAAAATAAAATTGTTTTTCTTTTTCTAAAAAAAATCGTAAAATAATAATAATAATAATAATAATAATAATT